TTTGTTTTTCCAAAGGTAGACCAGCCCTGGGACTGTGGCTCTGTTATGGATGTCTTAAGACACTTGTTCAGGCCCGTGTTTAGATATCCCAAGTGAATGCTCACTTGGTGCTGGTGAATATAAATGATGAGACCTTTGAGGATGAGTAGGCATAGGACCCTGTGCACTGAAGGTCTCTCCCCTAGGACAGAACGTCATGGGAACCATTTCGCCTCTAGTCAATGTTCTTCACTCTCCCTGTTACTTAAATGATGTCCCTATTGTGATTGGCCTCCCTGCCTGGGGGCCAGGAGAAAGGAGAATGATCTTCAAAAAACCAAAGTATTTTTCCCCCAAAATATTTTTTATTCTTGCATAACATTTGTGTTTCCAATTGTGAATAAAAAAATTAGAAAGTAGTTACAAAACAGCAATGGGATAGACAAGGAGCAGGGTGCCTCACACACAGCAAGGCCAAATCACTTCCCATCTTCCCCTTCTTCCTCTTTAGATGAAGTGGGACCTGGCGCCTGGGATGCAAGCTCAGCTGGCCTGGGGTCAGTCGGGCTTCCAATTCTCAGAATCTAGAAAACAAAACCGCCACAGCCAGTTACAGTCCTGACAACGTGCTGACCTCCCAATCTGTTTTGAAGGTGCCAGCTGGTCTTCTGAAAGCACCTGAGGCTTCTCCCATCAGCAGCTCAATGAACCATCACCACCACTGCCAACCATGGACGGTCCTATGGAGCATGTTTCTTAATCAAACCAAATTTCCCTGGAGGAGAGTGGATAAACCAGGAAGGGAACCAGAGACAGAGGAGACCTCAACCCAGGGTACGGATGGAAATAAAGAAATAAATTAAATACAGATTCTTAAGCCTCTACTGATTATATAAGTCTTCAATCTCTAGCAGCCAAGGAATCAAAATGGGCAATGGTGACTCAAAGGCATCTAATACACGTAATGATTCGTGTTGCTCAAAGGCAGGATTCCTATTGCTGAACAAGGAAAGCTCATGTCTTTTCTTGCCCTATAATTTAACACAGGAAGAAGAGAAGAATCGACTCCAGAGAGCCTACACAAAGTCCAGAATGCTATAGGCCAACTAGGCTGTCACTCTGCCTCCATGTAAGACCAGGCTCAAGACCAGTCCAGAAAGAAATTCAAGCAGCGTCCAAAGCAGATGGCCATATATTATCCCCTCAATAATATGCCTTTGAGGCTCACCCCTCAGCAATCCAAACTAAATATGAAGGTAGAAGCTTCTCTTAGTATGCCGATTTAAGTAATTAAATAAGAACACTGTGTCATTTAAGTAATATCGGGATGATAATAGATAACAAACACAAAGACTTAATCCCACATCAGCTTCTGCCCGGGGTCTGAGCCCAGGAATTTGCTTCCAATGCAGGTTCAGGAAGGTACCAGTGCACACATAACCCTCCTCATCAATGCATCAGTTTTGGGGCCACTGTTGGAATAAGCTTGAAGAAATCACAGCAGAGACAGCCAAGTGAGAAGGTATGCTTCCCTGGGCTTTAGGGGCTTGACATTGCAAAGACAACCCATATCCATTTCTGCCACGCAAGAGGAAAGAAGGCATCTACCAGAGTGGCTGGAAGAAACTTAGGCAAAGCGGCCAGAGAAGATCATGCATATTCAAATGGTCAACCCAACTCAGGCATAAAAGTATTGACCAGTAATGATCAGTTCCTACATCTCCCATTAGGCAAGACCTACCTTAACTTGTAGACAGGATAGGCAGAAAAGTAAAGCCCAACAAAAAATGCTGTTCCTTTCTGTCATTCGGCCACCAGCGCTGGGAACACCATACAGAGCCCTACACTATGCCTCCTGGCCTGCTGAAATAGCTGGGCTCTCCACTATGGCCATGCTATGGCAGTAGCTATCCTGTTATAGGGATGGCAATGCTACTCTAACCTAACAGTATTATTCTTTTGCTGATACAAGGGAAAGAGCAAGAAGTCATCATGGACAGACAGTCTACCTTCCTGGACATTCAGATCCACTTTAGAAGGGTGACCTACATTCCAGCCATCCCTCTACAGACCCAATTTGAATATGCTAGTGTAGTATTTCTATGATCCCAATCAGGTAGGCTGTTTTAGCTTTATAAGGTGGTTGGAAAATCCAATGGTCACAGTCTAGGGTGACAAGAATCTCCCCAACTTCCATCTTTCTTGAAGATGTGCTTTGTAAAGGGTAGAAACCATTGTTGACGAGTAATTCCAGTGCTGCCACTTCTCCCAAACATTTCCCACTGGTCTCAGGTAGACGTACTATCTAAGTACTTAAAGAAAAAGCCAAAGCCATTTTCCACTCCTCCTCCCCATCATCCTCTCTTCTCCATAACTCTAACAGTCGATCTACAACCTACAAAAGCAAATTCATAATGGGGAAAAAAAAAAAAAAGACAAAACTCAACTGATTCCCGCTGGCCCCACCACCCATACTCACACACATCTATGTAGGTAGACAGACATACTCTCTCTTTCCCTCCTTCCTAAATTCTTCAGTCGGGGGACAGGTGACCTAGAAGGATACTGGGACACCTTCAGAACAGAAAACATATTTGAAGTATATTTTCCTAGCCCAGCACCCACAGAGATTCCAGTTAATGGCAATCTCTCCTACCTTGTCTCAGGGAGTTGGTTACCTAGAAAGGAATGTTATTTTCAATCCTACTGTCTGCTCACTATCCAGCCTCACCCAAGTGAGGTGGAAAATTCTGCCTAAAGTTGAATAAGTAACACCCTAAATGGCTGGGAGTCACAGATTCCATTAAAATGACCTTGAACAGGTGAAGAGAATGCCCAGAAAAACTATCTCCAAATACCAAGATATAGATAATGAAAAAACTAAGAGACCAGCAGAAGCTCTGGTGGGAGGCAGCCACACAAGTCATCTGGGCAGATGGGGCTATTTCTTCATTTTGTTTTTGCTTTTGTTCTTCAGGGGGAAGGAGGAAAGAAAAAGATGTTTTCACACTGTTTTCAAGCACAAAATGTTTATTTTTCTCCTTAATATATACAGTCTCTTGGGGATTTCATTCCACTGACTGTCTGTGTACAAGGATGGAACTAACAGGCAATAGTGACTCCAGGCAGTTCCAATGTAAGCTCAAAGAGGAATGGGGATGGGGGGTGGGGTGGGGAATGAGAACAGTTTCCTAATGTTTGCTCATGAAGCATACAGACATGAATCTAAAAACAAACAAATCAAATATACATGTTACAGAGAACAGAAATCTCTTACTACAGTCAGTATTTTGCCCAGGCAGAAGACTCTGCCTAATTGTCTATAAAATTCAATTCTAACTGAATTGATGGAATAATATATTCTCAAAGGGTACAAACCAAATAATTTAGACAGTTCTAAGAATGCTCCAAAGTACAATAGAATGATACAGTTCCCATGTTTGGCAGCACAGGTCATTCTGCTTTCCAGCAGGGAGTATAAAACATCTTTGCAGGAAGAGAACAGTGTGCCTTCAGCGTTCCACCTTGGAAAGTTTTTCTCATCCCAAGCCCAGAATGAGCCTGTCGAGGTCGAGCTGTCTATGAAAAGGAAGCTTGCCACAGACAAAGTGGCTTAATATCGGTCACCTGTGGAGTATAAGACTTTGGGGGGCGGGGAAGGGGGATGGAGAATCCACAGACCATAACAGGGACCAAACTGGGGTAGGGTCTGGGGCACAGGGAGGGAAGGGGGAGGGTGCTCCCATTCTAAAGTGCAAAGAGAGAAAGAAAAAGCCTGATAAAAGGAGCTGGTCAGGTAATATTGTTCTGAAAGATGTGTTTAGTCAGAAGGCAAATAGTAGAGACACTTTAAACACCGTCTCTCTGCCTTCGATTTGGTTTGCTCCTCAGAGAGCAGCACCACTGGCCTACTGGCAGACCGAAACCCATAGCAGGGCTGTCTGCATTCTCAGAATGGGCTGGAAGGCCACTTACAATGGTGCCTTTTCTCGCCTTGCACCAATAAAGCATGTACAGATTTCAAATCAAACTGACTTATGCACGTCCTTTTGGTTAAAGTGTGGCAAAATGTGGATACTTAACTAAAGGAAAAGAAGAAAACATTTTCTCTCAGCTCCCTGTTAACAGAAAGAAGTCACCATCTGCACCACTTAACCAAAAGGCCAGGTACTGGACAGAACCACTCTCGCCAACGTTTTATTACTTGGCTTTCTGCGCAGGATATTTTCACGGCTTCCAAATGTGCTCCTTGAACAACGCATCAAAAAAAAAAAATTCTGTCTTCTCTTTCTCATTGCATAAACTCAAAAGAGATTTAGTTTTTTCAACCACCACACAAATCTCAACCTAACATTTGCAACCCTTTGATAGTCAAGGTTATCTTCTCATTAAGATAAAAGAAAATACCACATTTACAGTAGAAAACAAAACCAAAAAAACCCCAACATGACCACAAGCTTCGGTTTCAAAGTGTGTAAACTCTGCATATCTTTGCAACTTAAAATAGGGAAATTGTTTTTGAACTCACAAGCAAACTGTAAATAAAATACACCTTTCCAATATATATATATATGTATATACGTATATATATGTTTCTATATAGAGATATATTTTACATCTCTTTCCAGTAAGGAACTGAAAAGTCAAGATTCAAGGCACTCAAATACTCCTGCAGGATTAATACAATGTTGTTGTCATCATCAAGTCAAGTACAGAAAGTTATTTGTGTTTTAAAGAATATACCACAATCACAACAATGGAGAATAAAGTGTCTTTAGCAGTGGAATATGCAAATATTGCCATGAACAAACCCACTCTTGGGGTATGGCTGTGGTGGGTTCTACCAGGCTTGCTGTGGTTGTAGCTGAAGCCACCAATGCCATACAGACAAATAGTATCCCCAGTCTCAAATACTCTCTTGGAAGTGTGTGTGTGTGTGTGTGTGTGTGTGTGTGTGTGTGTG